GCTAGATTAATAAAAATAGTTTATGCCTGAGTTTAATTTTTAATGAAGGCTTATTTCATCTTGTTTTGAACCTTCTTTTTGTTATTTTTTTGTTGTTTCTTCAATATTCTGATGTATTTTAAATGTTGCTGATGTTATAAAACATTATTTACTATTGTATCACAAAGGAGTACATTTATGATGTGTAAATGTTTTTAATGTTCAGTTGTTTTGGAAACTTATAATAAATCAGGTGTGTTATTCCAAAGCACTTTGAACCTCTAAAGCTTGAATATTGATCAAGTGTTAGTGAAATCCATAAAGTGAAGTTGCATGTTTAGCCTACAATGAAAATGAGCTTGGATGTGTATTTTTGGGTAGATTACTGTAAATTATACAAAGGAAGGTCATATGTATGCATATATTCAATGTGAATTGGAAATTATGTAAAGTGAGACTGTGTTTGGTTATTTAACAATAAGAATGATTCAGGTATGTGTGTTTATTTAAAAAATGTTTGTAAACTGGAGTCAAGTAAACATGGGCTTGTCTGTCTGTTTTAAAAATGTTTACAAAGTAGAGTCAAAATGTAGATTATGGGTAAACATGTGTTTGTGTATTTATGTCAAAATATGTTTGTAAACTGGAGTTAGGATCTAGTTACATGTAAACACATGGGTTTGTGTGGTGTCTGTATGAAAAATGTATATAAATTGAAGGCAAAATGTAGGTTACAGGCATTATCAGTGAGGCTTGATGTAATGGTATTATAATATTGTAAGAATTATTAAGTCCTTTTGAACAGAATACATTAACATAATTAATTAATTATCAATATAATGAAAAGAAAGAAGTCTGGCTTTCCTTTTCTACTTAACACATTTAAAGATTTAATCTTTCACCTCATTCGTTTCTGCATTCATGATCTTGAGCCAAATAATAAAGGTATAATTGTACATTTGTTTCATAAGTTTATAAATTCTAAAGTATTCTGAATACCTAAAAATATTTCTATTAGGATTTTAATATGCTATAATTAAGAATTTAACTTCTACTAGTAGATGACAAAGCTTCCATTTAAAACTTTACTGTAATAGTGAGAATGGCTGTAAAATGTAAAATGAATTACACATTTACCTCAATACAATGTGATTGTCAGGAACCATGGCTTAATATGGTGATAAAAAATTAGAGAGCATTATAGATGATTTGACCATGAAAAGATTACCCCACCCACATGGTCAGTATCCATAATATTTTTGAGTAGTTGTGTAGTATGTAGTTTTCAACTGATGTGAGTTTTGTTAAATTACTGTAACGTAATTTATTGTATGTTGTTAAACTATCAATTCAAAGCTACTTATGAATTTTACTCATGCTTTTTGATCACCGTTACGTGGTAGTTACATGAAATTCATGCATCATGATAATTGCTCTTATAATTTAATGAATGTAAATGTTTTAGATTTATATGTTAGATATTTTCATGATTTTATTGAGAATAGTATTAATAACTTTTAATAAATGTTAATAGTGTAAATATTAGAAACTTCGTGCATTTGATGAAAATGTGAATCAAGCATTAATAAAATACATCCTCTGTGATGATGTGAACTTTCCTCTTTCTAGTTGGTGTAGACATGATGAAGATAAAACTAGAAACTAAGACTAAAGAAATTGTAAAATTAAATCCAGAAGAGTTTATAAGCACCAACAAATACAAGGAAACCAGTGTTGTTGTTTTGGAATGTTCATAAGAACTCAAAGTTTTCAGAGATATTATGCCCCCAAAGTGTGAAAAACTGTTCCCTTCCAAAATTACATGCAGTATGCAAGTTTTCAGTCATGAAACACATCATCATGTGAAAATTACTAGGCAGTTACTTTCATGGGAACTAATATGATTGGAACCATGACCTTATTGTGTTACAATGAAGACCATGCTCAAATGAGTTAGTTGTATTGAGTCAGTGGTGTAGTTCCTACTATTCATTAAAAAAAAGTATAGTATATAATAATGGCTATGAAATCTTGGATTTTAAGAAACTGTTATCCTTTTATTCCTTTTAGTTGACTTCTAGAATCTTCTTTTATTGCAGCATTAGATGCACTTTCCACAGATCTCTTTATGTATTTGTTGTTATTAATATTCAGTTTATACTTTATGTTCAACTTAATGTCTTTCACAAATTGATGTGTTTGTGGAAGTCACAAAGTTTCCCTCTCACGTGTGTTATGTAGTATTTCCTTTGTGTTTTTCTTTTTTTGCAAGTAGTTCATTTTTTGGTGAATCTTACCTTACATTTTTCTGTTTTGCAAAGAGAAATAAGTAATTGTAACAGTTAAATTATTAAAATACTCAAAAATAAATTTAGATATTAAGCTTTATAAGCAGTACAGTATTTGATGTTTTGAGCTGGGTAATTTTATGTTCAGAACCGTAATGTTTGAACATTACAATCTTTTTCAGGTGCACATTTAGTAAATATTTTTACATTACTTGTGAAACTGGTTATATAAACTTGTTCTGTTGATTCACTTCCTTTTAATTTTTTCTTAGCTCTTTTACAATGATAACTTTTGTGGGATCAATGATTTCATTGTTTTTATTTCCTATTGAAATGTTATTATGTAAAGCTCATAATTACTGTTACCATATTTGTATTTCATTAGTTTACCTACAAAATTGACCGGAGACAGCTTGGATTTCTACAACTGTACAGTGAGGGAGCTGTGCAAAATATTACCTACCACTGTCAAAAATCTGTTGCCTACAAATATGCTAAGCTAAACAGCTTGAAATTAGCTGTAAAGTTAATGTCCTACAATGACCTGGAACTCACTGCCACTGGTAACCCTATGTTTACATACAAGGCTCTGAAAGATGGCTGCCAGGTAGGAGTTTTCATTCTCCTTTATTTTTGTGGTTACTACCGAGAAAAAAAATACTCACTAAAAATAACTTTTTTTTTCAGACACCTCCTTTAAGAAGTCATTTGTTAGTTTGATGCCTATCCATTTAGACACCTCCTTTAGAAGGTCATTTGTTAGTTTGATGCCTATCCATTCAGACACCTCCTTTAAAAAGTCATTTGTTAGTTTGATGCCTATCCATTCAGACATCTCCTTTAAGAAGTCATTTGTTAGTTTGATGCCTATCCATTCGCTCTTGAATTAAACAATTTGTAGCACAAAATAAATTCTCAAGAGGAAGTTTCCTTCTGTTGAATATGGAAATGAGCCATAATAATGCCAAAGTGTATTAGCAGCCAGTGACTTTATTCACATTAACCAAACTTTGGGTTTCCTAATGCAGTGTAATCTTTTTGAAATTATACATGTATGTATGTATATACAATGTTGGAAACGATTATTGAAAACACACATTTATGATACACAAACAATGGGTAATTGCAACTAAATGGCTATTTATCATTCTTATATTATACATTGTACAGATTATACAAAAGAAAAACAAGTATGTTGCACAATGCACTGAGATTTTTCATTTGCTTTAAATAGAGTTGTCACCTAGTTTTAATACCACCATATGCTTATCAATGTATGATTGTAAAATATTACTCCCCCACGATCCAGCCATGTTGTTTTGTTGCCATTTGACTTTCTCAGTTTCCATATATGCCCTTATGGTTTTAATAATGTTTACCATATTTTCCCATAAGTAATCTACCCCCTGGTATACCCCGCACCTGAGGGAAAAAAAGTGCTCTAAAAATTTTTAGCCATGTATTACCTGCACTCATGTATACCCCGCAAGCCAGCAACACAGACGAATTTTGGAAGACAAGAAGAATTAAAGAATTATTTTACATTAACACAATAAAAACCTTCACTAAACTGAGATTTTGAATTAAAGGTGAGTAACCAATGGGTAGCATTGGTTGAATCTGCGGGAAATCTTTCCACCAATCAGAAACATGGATAAACTATCCATTCAGAACATGTCCTCCACATTCCACCAGAATACTATAAACACTGACAACACTATACACACGTTGACCTGAAGACAAAAGGCGGAATACTTTTGAAACATTGTCCTCTATACTTGTGTTTCTACAACAGGCAGTTTCCGTCCATTCAACTAAGTTTGGCCGTTGAATTTTATATCATTTTACAAATTCGTCCAAATTATTATAAATCATTATAAAAATTATTGCCATATGATGTCTGTTGTCGGTACTAGGAAGAGAAAAAGTAAAAGTCGTAATTGTAATTTATTCAAATACTGATAAGTACAATCAAAAATATTCATATTTATACTTTGTCTTTGGACCAGAGAATAACTGGGATTACTAACAGACGTACTTATCATCTGGTTGAAGAATCAGTCCACATGTTGAACAAGAACAACGTAATCAAATACTCAGAATAGAAAATTGGTGATTCCAGTCTTTAAAGAAATGTATTACCCACATATGAGTATACCCCACAGTTGGAATTTTTTAAACTAATTTAACATATAGCCCACGGGTTATTTGCATTAAAATATGGTATATCAGGACTGTGCACACCAAGAGATGCTTGAGTGTTCCATTGGCCTCTTTTTCCTTCCACCTTTTATTTCACCACATTTGCTGCATGCTTAGAATCACTGTCTTGCTGGAAGAGAATGGTATAATGGCTAAGAATCTGATTGTACCTGTCAATAGTCAAGGTGCCACAAATTTTGTATAGATCTCCAATCTCATTGACCAAGATAAAGCTCACACTTGTATTGGTTCCAACAATACTTCACCATAGATGTTGTACATTGACCGTGGTTCCATTCTATTCTCTGCTATTGGACATACTGTTGTTTATTATTGCTAAACAATTTAAATTCATCTATAAAGAATACCCTCTTCCAGCTTTGCTAATCCCATTGTTTGAAGCCTAATGCCCTTTTCAGTCGTTTGGTTTTGTTATCTACCCCAAGTAGTGGATTTTGAGCAGTTACACATCTATTGAAGCCACTCCATGCTAATGTGTATCATCCTGTTATGGAGGTAACATTTATGCCTGTACTTACAGCTAGATCATTTACAAGTTTCTACTAGATTATTGTGTGTTACTTAATGAGCAAACCCTGATTTACTTTATACCATTTTGGAGAGTTGTGTTTTTTTAACTCTGGTACTTATATTATCAATGTACTAGTTTCATGTAACCTCCATACAGCTCCTTCTGAAACATGAAGTTTCCTGTAATCTATTACAAGGATTAGCCTTCACCAGTCTTTTTTCATGTGAAATTTCTGTTCTAGGAGCCATGAGTATGTTCACCACACTACTGCTGGGAATAGTATGACTGACTATTCTTTTATAAGTATTATACTGGTTTAGCTCTGTCTGACTGGTTCAATGACAGCCAGCCACAGTTCAAACTATCAACACATGACTGTACTCTGGTGGCAGTTCATTTTTATACAGTAGAGGAGAAACAGTTCTATAATATCTGAATTTTATAACCAGTTTATTCACTGTTTCCATAATTACATAATGGATATGAGTTACAAGTTCTTTACATCATCAGTAAGATAGACATTTGCATTGGGGAATTACTATAGAAATATAGAACATTTTTGATAGAATACTGTTATTCAGTGTATTTTAATATGGGAATGAATGCATTTAAAGTGGTAAACATTGCAAAAGAAAAACTTAATTTTGTTATAAAAAATGTACATATGTTTATAAATAACAGCCAATTTCATACTAATTTCAGTACTTAATGACATTAATGTTGCATTAAAATTTATAAAAATGCTTTAATATTAGTGTTTAATTGAACCTATAAAATTCCAATTACCAATTAATCTATAATATTTTGTAAGGTATGGTCTTACATCAATAGTTGGTCTTTGTTGATTAATCAACATGCTTTCTCCTGTCCAATAATTCTAAAGCCATTGACATACAAATGGTTGATTACAATCTTTTAAAGGTGTTTGTCAGTACTCAATATGGAGTTAAGTTGTTTTTTTTTTTATTAGTGTTTTTTATTACTAGTGATTATATTCGTGAGACATGTATAGCTTTGGCTTGTGTCCTTGCTGACAAACATTGCAAGTGTATTATTATCCTAAAATGTTAAAGATTTGGAATAAGATACTGTTGCGTCAGCGAGGTCACGTGACTAGTGTCACATCCCCTGCTTTCTGGAAACATCTTGTACCTTCGTGAATTGTCGGGAGATTACTAGATATAGGGTAGTCTGGTATATATATATATATAAGAGGGTGACAACGTGACGAAACAATAATGTGTGTAGGTAGTGAGTAATTGATCTGCAGTGAGAAAGTATTGTTGAAGTTAACGTTCGTTATAGCGTTTGTTTTAGCACGAATGTT